GGGGCAAATTGTGGGGTCTTTTCTAAACCATACGTTTTCTGCCCTAAACAATTGTAAAAACTATTTTTAAATCCAAAACGTTAGTCTGCGGCACTCAGCAGTGTTCACTAATTATCCCTGAATCCAATTTATGAGGAGCTAGGAAGAGAGAATTATGCTGAAAGGAAATAAATAATTTCAGATGGAAGAAATCTGGGATGATCTAATCAACAGACCAGCATTCCAGGGCTCCAGAGATATCCAGCTTCCTCCTCATTAATTAAAAATTAATCCATTGGTTGATTAGTTGCAAAAGTTCTTTGTATTTCTCCTTCTGCAAGGAGACTGAAGTCTGCAAAGATTCTCTAGCTCCAGTTGTCCATTATATTTACAATGGACTTATCTGTGGTTAGTTACTGTAGTATTTATAGTTTTGATTAACTTTGCATCTCACATGCATTTAGTGTAGTTGAACACATGGTTGGTAAATATCTTAAGTCTTTTTGGTCCAAGTTATGTTCTGTTTGGAACTTTAATTGGACAATAATACTAACTAAAAGTGTACTCAAGTTTAAAAAAAGCTTTGTTTTCTAGAGTCTCTAAGCATGTTTTTGTTCTGAGATTTAGATTTGTTGTCTCCTGGAGCTTTTTTAATTGGATCCAGCTATTAGCAATATTTACTCATTTCCCCTGAAGCGAGTCTCCATTCTGCAGACCAAAGGCTTAGTACAAACTTTTTAGATTTTTTTGTTTTTATTAAAATGCATGGTCTAAATTACTTGCTTTCTAAATCTTATTTGCAAGCCTCAGAGGTAAAATATTTTCTGTATGTATGTTTCCTTGTTTGCATGTGTATAATGGAGCTCTCAGTGACCTCAGTCGTTACAATATATTGTATAAGCTGTGTGTGTACTTTAACTATGCCTGTCTGGCCATTGTTTGATTTTTGTAATCATTTGGAAGGTAGGTGGGTTTCAAATACTAAAAGTTATTGCTTCACTTCAAGGACTGTTTGAGATGGTCTAAAAATGTTGTCTTCAAAATAAAGACGTCATTGGCAAGCTGCTGGTCATTCAGCATTCTTGAAAATCAGGGCACTTACAAATTTTCTTACTATATTTATATTAGTAATAACTTTGATTTAAGAATTTATTTTTATGTTATAAGTTTTTGGTTTTTTTACTTTTTTTGTGGGTTTGAAAATAAACTAATCAGTGTCACTGGTTTCTAGTCAGTATTACTTTCAAGTTCATTTGCACTAGCAAAATGCTACAGTGTTTGGATTGTGAACAGCACTGCAGGGCATTATCCATTTGTCTAAAAATTATTTTTAAATAAAATGAACATTTCTATTGGTCTTAGTTTTTTTAAGCTCTCTCTGACTTTTTCTTTTTTTATACAAAGCTTTAAATTTGGGGCTTTTTGCAACCTGACAGCAGCATCCATTTAAGGTCTTCAGGCTAGCAAAACAAAACAAAATAACCCTCCACTCCGATAACTTTGTTTGATTAATAATTTGAAATGGTATGTTTTCAGATGACATATCTGTAACAGTCCCTGAACCCAAATTGTGCTGACAAAATTATGGGATGCTTTGCAAAGTCCATATTATAAATACAGGAAATTTTCAGCTTTTAAATGGAAAATTGGTAGACCCTTCAGCATAATCCATAATGCCAATTGGAAGGGAAGAACATTTTTAGTAGCTCAAGATGATCCATCAAGAATCTGATCTCCTACAAGACCTGCAGCCAGTCCTACGGCCCCCAAACCACTTTTTCTCCCTCCTCCTGAGGATCAGGCAGCAGTTGAGACAGTTAGTCAAAAGGAAAACCATAAACTTCAATTTTGAGGCTGAAAAAATAAATTACATTCCAGAGTTTGGCATGTAGGTCCTGCAGCTGCCAAACCCAGACCCAGTGTTTGTGCGTGGTTACAGGTGTTATTTCAGAGCTGGAGTACATAAAAGGGCCGGACAAAGTAAAGCACAATCAGCTCTGCCAGCAGCAACTGGAAGAGTTGCTATAAATTGCTTTTCAGGTTCAGTTTGTGCTGAATATGGTATAACTAGCCAAAAAAACATATGGTGCATCTCTCTGAGCCATGCAGAAGAGCACAGAGAAATGTGTAGAGTGAGAAGGGAGAGTCTGACATGGCTCTCAATATGAGAAAGAGTAGTGAATTCTTATTTTCACCCATGAGTCTTTGCTTCCCCTTTCCCTCTTCCTTTGCACCAGGGAGGGATGGATACTGAAGAGCCTACACAGGATAGAGTACGGTTACTTCTGTCCCACCACAAACGACTGAGTTTTCAATATTTCTTTTTTTATATGTTCATTAAAGTGCCCATAAACATGACCCATTAATTATGCAGCAAAGCGGTCGTGTCTGCTTTAAGTGTTGGATGGAAATCAAGGAACTGAAGGATTTTTTTCTCTCCTTCATATGTGCGTAAAACTCTTAATGTGAGAGGGATTAGCACATGATCTATACTAGAAAAATTACCTGTTGCTGTATTAATCTGAACTGCTGCTGAATATGGTTTAGCTGCAATTGTGGTTTAGGACAAACTACATTTGGTGTCATGTTACAAAAAGACTTGATCAGTACATGCTCAAAGAAAGCCTTAACTCCTCTTGTGGCTAAACCATCTTCAGCTGCACCCACTGTTTACTGGCATCCACTGCATATGACGGATTAGAAAGCAGGTGGGAATGATTGAAATATTGTATTTGAAAAAGCACTACTAATGACTGGTTCTCCTGCAGTTTGAAAGTGCCTTTTCGGCTTTGTGAAAACAGGAGGCGAACATGCAATCTGAGGATAACAGACATGTTGATTCTACCCCGACTGGTGATTCTCTGCACCTCAGTTTTGGAAAACGGCCATAATTTCTACTGATCCTGAGAATGAAAGAAACAAATGTGTGCCGTCCCAATTCTGAGACAGCTCCTATCTTTTTTTCTAAATATATTAACTGAGGCTTAGTGCCAAGAGCAAAAACCCTTTGTAAGAAGCAATAGTCTAAGGAAACAGATGCAATTCAATTGTTCCAAGTTTTTTTCAGATGTGGCTGATGAGATATATGTATCTCTTGCTAGTATATACTTAACAGACAACATGGTTAAAACAGTATGTAAGACATGAAAAATACGTATCACAATAAGCACCTCTTTTCTTTCATACAGCCAGAGTTTGTTCTGCATGTAAGATTCTAATATTTTTAGCTTGTCAGCAGTAACTTTTAAGAAACAGACTACATCCCCATCACACAATTAGTCTTTTTATTGTTTGTACTATATATTTATTACTACTTGTTTAATAAATGAGCCAAAACACCTACCCCCCAGCCCTGAGTTTCCTAGATCCCTTATAGTCAGAAGCTGCATTCCAGCAGTTTTATGGAAGCGGCCACACAGTGAAGAAATCAAGGACACAAGGAGAATTTTTCCAAAGCCTGTGACCATTCACTTGTTAATTATTTTAATGAGACTGTCAATTCAGTTATATAAGCCTCTGAAATTCCTTCCTGTGATGTAAAGCTGATGATGGGTGACTGCTGAATCCTTAGAAGTTCAGAATTGTATCCCTTGTTGTAGTAATGGTAAAGGGTGAACAAAGAGTTGTGGAGATTGTAGGGGCTTTAAGGAATAGCCTGCATCAACTTGAAATTGACTAAAACATCCTCTTCTACCTCCAAATTGCTCCCAAGAAAGACCTGTTTCCAGCTTTCACTTTCTGATATTTTATCGGTAAATCTGTCTTTAAGAAGTGATTTGTGCTAGATTAGTAGATAATTATATAATTTAGATTCAACCTGCCAAAAATATTGAAACTACTTACATTTTATTATTACTGCAAAAACGGATTCTTATATACTGCCTCTCCCTTGAAAGGCAGTAAAAGCAAGCTGTACTACAAATAGTTTTTTAATGCTTTCTTTTTGAGTGAATGCTGTGCCAATAATAGACTATAAAATGTTTGACTGCTCATTGAGTATAATTGAAAAAGCCATGATGCAGTGTAAGATGACACTTAAAGCCACAGAAGTGAATGGTTAAAAACAAATCAAAAAGGCATCAAAATGCAAGGAAATATAAAGCATGCCAAAGCTTTGTAAAGAAGCTGCATTTGAAAGCTGTACTGGCCATATTACCCATTTTAGTAGCAATATTATTTGCTAGCAGTTTGCATAAGCCAATAGTTAGTTTCACTGAAATGCATTCGGTACAGCAAATCAGCAACTTGAGCATAAGTAGATGTTCAACACATTCTGCAATCTGTATTGGCAAAATGTTTGTTTACTGACATATAAATTATTTGTTTCATGTTTTCTCATTTACCTTTGATCCTTTTCATCCCAGGATAGATGCAGCACTTGTCCCCCAGATACAGTTTGCACAAAACTGTGTTTTAGCCTCATGCCCCTAGGTTAGACACTTGCCTAAAGGAAATAATGCAATTGTATCTTATGTCTGCTTCCAGAGCTTTGAAGCAATAATTTCCTCTTTTGTAAAACTAGAAAAATAAAGGAAAAAAGGATTTATTTATTCTAATGCTAAGTGTAACTTTTTAAAAGTAGTTTTGTAGAATAATAGTTATCATTTTGAAAATGACAAACTCTCACTGATTCAACAGGTTTAAATTGGGATTGGGATTGGTTTGAGAGTTACAGGTGCTTGTTTTTCCAGATATGTTGGGGTCCAAAAATCCTACTAGAGATGCACATTTTATTTTTAGTGTGTCAGATGAGTATTAATGATCTAATGCTTTATAGAGGCACATGACTCAACGCTCTAAACAGCATCTGCCCTTAAAATAGGAACTTCATTTGTGTCCATATTTAGGGGCACGTAGATTTTAAGGAAGATTAGCAAGGCCTACTGAAGTACTTGAAAATGTTTCACAAACTGCCATTCCTCTAAAACACTTTAAAAAATTGTAGTTGAGTGACATTGTATCAAGTGCGTATTTACACCGACACAGTATGCATGTTTAATATTTATTTTCCTTTTCCAAAGGTTCGACATCGGTGGTGTGAACTTGTTGTTAAACACAAATATACAACAAGATATGCTGAGGTTGAGAAATTCCTCAAGGAAGATCAGGTCAGTTTAATATATTAATATTTTCAAAATAATCACCCTGTGTTGTGTCAGAGTATAAACTGATTTTAACTTACTCTCTAGCTGTGAATTGTCTGATATCTGAATCTGATGCACAGAGTAACTGCTTTGCATCTGAGACCTACACTATCGGGCTTTTATAATATTCACCAGTAGTTTCCAAGGTCCTGTCTTTCTAGGCAAAAGATGCTGGTTTTACAATGGTGGTTAAGCAATTTAAACTCTGTTTCAGCCAAACTAGGTTAATGAATGTGGATGGAGCAAAACCTTGTTATAATCAAGTTAACAGTCCAGGTTATAGCTCAGGTAGAAATTTAGGCTGGAACATAGTTTTATAACTAGGTTAAGCCTCAACTACATTTAATCCATGCTTAACCATAGTTGTAAAACTCTTGCTCAGTTGTTGATGAGGTCAAAGAATCCTACCTCTTGTATATATTACATATGTGCAGTAGGTCCTAAATCAGGGATGGGTAAACTTTTTGGCCCGAGGGCCACATCGGGGTTGTGCAACTGTATGGAGGGCAGGGTAGAGAAGGCTGGGCCTCCCCGAACAGCCTGGCTCACGCCCCCTATCCTCTCCCGCCCACTTCCCACTCCCGACTGGCCCCCTCAGCACCCCCAACCCATCCAGCCCCCCCCTGCTCCTTGTCCCCTGTCCTCCTCCCCCCTGGCTCCCTATCCATCCCCCTGTCCCCTGACTGCCCCGACCCCTATCCACCCTGCTGTCCCCCGACAGGCCCCCCAGGACTCCCACGCCTATCCAGCCCCCTCCAATCCCCTCCCTGCCCCCTTACCATGCTGCTCAGAGCAGCGGCGTGGCTACATGGGAGGAGGGACAGCAGGGGAGGGGCCAGGGGCTAGCCTCCCCGGCTGGGAGCTCAAGGGGTGGGCAGGACGGTCCTGCGGGCTGTAGTTTGCCCACCTCTGGCCTAAATCATTCTGTTCTGACAATATCACTCACATTTATTTTTACTTACAATTTTTAACTTAAATATGTACATGCATCCTCCCAACACACACACACACACACACACACAGTGACATTATTGGTGCTGCTATGTTCAGTATACTACATTATAACAATTCACACTTTATTTGCAACATATGAGATTTTTTTTAATGGTTGATCAGACAGCATGTTGTATTTTTCATGACAATAGATTGCAACTTTGTCTTGCTGCAGCAGTGCAGCTCTTATTAGTCTCCTGAACACTATCTTCTAGATCTAGATTACACTTCTAATATGCATGAGAAGCCAGAGAACTAGTCCAAAATCCCCAGCAAACCATTTGTTCTGATAAACATATATTTTAAAAAAAAACCCTCTATGTTAACAGGGGTTTGTGTATTGTGCACATTTTAATTATTATATAAAGCAGTGGTCCTCAAACTTTTGTACTGGTGACCCCTTTCACATAGCCTCTGAGTGCGACCCCCCTATTAAATTAAAAACGCTTTTTTTATATGTTTAACACCATTATAAATACTGGAGGCAACCCCCCATGTAATAACCTCGCGACCCCCGGTTTGAGAACCCCTGATATAAAGGGATGCAATTTCAGATACATGAAAGCTGTCATATCAGCCTCTGGTAGGCAAACAAAAAGCAACTGTATCCTTCAGCTCTCTGTTAAAAGCCAAGTTGAACAGCAATATATTTAGAATGGTGATTATGCCAAATAAGGATCAACATATTTCTGCTGTGTAAGGAAAGAATTTTTGAAATCATAACTGCAGAGTTTTTAAGCTGCTATCTTTGAGATGCTTTTTTTTTAATTTACTCCAGCAGGGTGTACAGTTTGTGGCACAACGAAGTTCTGGAATGGTTACATGAGAAATCAAAGCACTTTCTTGGCCTTACTGATCACAAAAGAACGTCGTTATTTTAAAAGTCTGCAGAAAATATAAATGTGACTAATCCAGTTTGGGATAACAGAAACCCAGTGTTTACTGCATTTTAATGTTTGAGATTTGGGTGAAATTATTACAGCTGTGCAAAAATGGGATATTTCATTTTGTGGAGGATTTTGATATTTCAAAATTGGGTTTCATTCTTATTTGGAATAAACCCCAAATATTAGAAATTCTCTGTGAAAAGGAATGGAACTCTGGTTCCAGGATACTCTGCCTGCTAAGGAGCTGAGCCCACAGAAGCTCTAGGGTCTTCAGTTCCAAGGCAAACAACATTGTCCACAAACACTTTTTAATTTTGCCAAATTGACCAGTTCTGATGGTAAAATCCTGAGGATAATTTCTAGAGCTGGTTGGAAAAAAAAATGTTTCAAGAAATATTAAATTAAAGTATATATTTTCTAGTGGTAACTTTATTCTTCTTTTTGGCACTAGATGGTATGTTACATTGCATGAAATTACATTAACTGGACATTTGTAAAAACTTCGATCAACATAAGGGGACTGAGTTTGCAAAGCCACACTTGTATTTGCAGCCTACGCTTTTGTCAGTAGACACATTGTGATCAGATAAGGTTGCCAGATCAGGACCAGTGTCAATCTAGCTCAAGTGATTTGCATCTTCAGAAAAGCATATGGTAACCAAGGGTGAAATCTTGGTTCCATTGACTTCAGTAAGGCCAAGATTTCATCCCATAATTTTCCTTCCCGATGGAGACTCTCAAAATCAGCATTAGGGAGAGCTTTCCCTTTTCCTACCAGTCCAGAGTTGTAACTGCTATATGTGCATCCACTTGAAGGAACCAGCCTGAAACAGAAACCCATAATTTTCAACTGATTTCAGTTAACAAAATTAAGTCGGCATCTCAGAATGGATTGTGTCAATTGATATATACCAGTGACCATTCTCCATTCCTGCATTTGGAAATATCCCATCTGGGAAAGAAAATCAACTAAAGACCATTCAGATTTCTGTCATCTTAGAGGAAAGGCAAATTGCCCGCTCATGAGACATTTGGAAACAGCTCAGTTGGTGGCTGAGAGAGAACATAAACTTCAACCTGAAAAGCAGAGGAAGAAACAGCAGAAAAGCATTTTCCTGGCATAATATGCTGACTCTAGCTGATTATCAATCTCTAGAGTAAATGTTCTTTTGGTAACATACTTAATGCAACATCGACAATCCTCCTCTGATTGAATAGTCTCCAAGAGAGACGCACAGACAGAAAACTGTATTTTGGAGAAAAAAATATATACCTGTTAAAGGAAAAATTGCTTTGTACATGAAATGAGATTGGGTACTATATGCGTGGTGTTGGGAGCTGTGTAAAACAAGCTTGTCTTTAAAAACAAGCCAGCTAGCTATAATTGGTTATGGAATGAATGGGTGTTTTCTTCCTCTTGCAGGCTATGGGTGTTTATCTGTATGGAGAATTAATGGTGAATGAAGATGCAAAACAACAGGAACTTGCCTATAAATGCTTTGCTGCAACACAAAAACAAATGGATGTGTCCTCAGCCAAAGTGGTGGCAGAGATGTTATTCTGAAGAGGTGATTTTTCTTGATTAAAGTATTTAATCCTCATCCTGCTCTTTAGTGAGAGAATACGCACAGCTCAGTGAATAAACTCTGGCACAATGTAGAATTTGCTGATATTCAGCTCGAAGAATCATTCATTAAATTTCTTGCATGTTTTTTTCCCCCCACACTGTTGCTGGAGCAGTGACATTGATGCACAAGGTATCTAGTTGAGGAGCATAGAGAAGAGATTTTTGTACTAAGACACATCTACATTTACAATGCTTCTCAAACATGGCTGCTCTCACACCTAACAGTCGCAAATAGAAAATGTGATATGAACTTGATAGGGGATGGCAAGTAGTAGAGTTTAACGAAATCATACACTTACAAACTAGTTGTCCAGCGTAGTTCTGGCATGATTCAGATTAGCGTGGCTTACATGCTTTTGAGTATTTTGTGTGAGGTAGTTAAGATTAGTTGGTTGGTTGGTTGTTGGTTATGCTAGGAAGTACCTGTTTATAAAGATAACTATTTTATAGCTTTATTTCAATTTGCTTCTCGTTCTGCTTGAAATTAGTGGCTAAGGGGACAAAAGTAGAAGTCCTCTCACAAACATGGGTGAAAAAAAGCAAAATTGCAAGTAAAGTATAAACACATAGAATACAGTCATTTTCTTACTGGTTGTAAACTGGTCTTTTACACCAAATACTATATAGATAGTGACATATTCCCTTCTTATTTGAATACCCTGAGGATACTCTATGCCGGGTGTTTGTACATGCATGTTTAACCCATAGTCAATTAGGTTTGGTATGAAGATCCATTCCAGTACAGCATACCTCAGATTTTTGTGTAATGATATAAGCCATCTGACAGACTGTTTTCCTTGGTTGTTCACATAACTTTACAGTTGATTTGTGGTAACAAGACAACTAGTTAGCAAAAACATTGCTTGGTATTTAGTACTGAACAGGACCCCTTGATTTGTCTTCCCGTCAAGCCTGTACAGGTAGGCAATGCTTGAAATTAGGCTCTATTTGAGTTTGTGGCATTTATTTATATGGACTAGGAGAGTGGTTCTCAACTGGGGATCTGTGTGTCCTTTCAGGGGGACTGCAGAGCCCCGTTGCTGAAACCCAGTACCCTGAGCCCCAGCACTGAAGCTGGCGGCCCCTCCACCCCCACCAGGAGTGGCGTGGGGCTGAAGCCAGTGGGCCCCCCCGCAAGCCCCTGAAGCTGGAGGCTGCACTGGGAGCCCCTGCACCCCGAGCTATCACCCTCCCTGCACCGAGTGGCTTTCAGACTTAGAACTGAGTCCTCCCTTTGAGTTACTTTTTTGCTTGCATTCCCCCACAGCCCAGACAGGCAGTGTGGCCTCCTGAGTGAGTCAGGGGGTGGAGGTGGTGCTCCCTCCCTGGACCCTGCTATGTGGAACTGGCTGGAGCCCGGCCAGCCCTTGCCTACCTAAAAAGAAGTAAAACTGTGCCTCTCGGGAGACCCCCTGCTGGGCCCTACAGTGTTTTCACTGTATCTGGCCTAGTCCAGGGGTTTGCAACTTTTTCTTGCTGAGGTCCCCTTCAACAAGTTATTCATGAATAGCACTGTTCTTCTGGTACATAGTGCCAATGCCTGCCAAGAAACCTGTGGTGGGTTTGGAATAGGCTTAGATTGCCAGCATACCAGTTATAGGGGGGGTCTTGCTTTATAAAACAGGTAGGAGACCAACTACAAAATGTTTGCATGCACAGTCATGTTCAGATCATCTATGCTGAGAACCGCCTACCAAACCCCAAACAAAAAAACACTATAAATGTCTTAGCCTATTTGTAATGGTTTCAAATGTTTTTAACTGCACCAAAGGCCAGAAATATGCAGTTAGATTGGTTTGGTCTGCTGCAATATATGGTGGTCTCTACCCAGAGTCTCTTAAGTAGCTAGGAAAGTTTTATTAAGGTAAAAAGGTTAAAATTATTATAACTCCCTTGGTGATTGCCTTTGTGTAACTTCCCTATGCTAGTTAGTGCATGTGTCCTATAAGCAGTCTAGGATTAGCATTAGACATTTCTGAAATGTCAAACAGGTCATCTAAATAAAATTATTTAATCAGCTACCTGAAGGAGATGAGATCTTAAAGATACTGTCACAGAATGTAAATCTAATATCTTAAGCACCATCATTTTAAACCTGATCGGGTGATGGGAGAGAGACTACACAAGTGTCCCGCAATGTTGTGGCTGTTTGGGTTCCTGGCATGCTGATTTGTGATTTAAGATTAAAATCACATTGCCAGGGATTACCACATAACCATGACCGTGCCGCATGTGTGAGATAGGATTTTCATAATAGGCATTGGAATCCTCTACAAAAAAAATTTCAAACAAAAGGAGAAAATTCACCATTGAAGACCCTCATCTGATCTTTCGTTATGCTGAGACGAAGACCTCTCTAATGAGGTGCAGAGCTTAGCTGATTGGTGAACAGTGATTGATTTCCTCTTTGTTCACAGTGGCTAAGTTCTGCACCTGCAGAGAAGGTGAGATGGGAAACTACTTAAAAGTCAACCTACCCTGTTTGCTGGCTGAGGTACATGGTTGGTTGGGGTATAGTTTTATAGTATGTGTGAAATATAGTTTGCAGAGCATAAGAGATGGTAGAGACTTGGAAAAGAACAGAATTTTCCTGTTGCAAATGTAAGAAATGCACTGTAAACTATCAGGTTTGGCTACAAGCAAAGAGCCAGTCAATAAGTCTGAAAGATTTATACAGATTGTAATGTAATCTCAATCCTTTTCTAAAAGTTGGAGACAAATATGTTGTTTGTTCTAAACCAACTTAAGTCTGTAAAGCTATGCTTTATAAAGTTTTAGCCAGTGATTTCTCTATGCTTATTGCTTAGCAATGTGTATTGTTTTCAGGAAATGATTGTTTACGGCTGCTGCTGTTCCAGATTGTTGATGGACCCGTCCTCCGGTGCCTACTGAGCTGATATCAGTTCTGATTTTACATACTGGCTCAGTTCAGCAGGAACAGGAGTCGAGCCCTAAAGCAAAATGATGTGCCTATGAAAAGTGTAACTTTTTCTGTCTGAAACCAAATCTAGTACAGATTGTGATACTGTGCTTTTGAACACATGAGGTGTTCTAAGGAAGAAAAGCTTCCTCACTATTGTGTAGAGAACTCCTGGGTTTTTTTTTCTTTTAGTAGAACACAGGTATGTAATTAGTTACACAGTCTGCTTGTATCACTGTTTTCACTTCAGCTCTTCCCAACAAATTATCTTGTCTCCTCGGTCTGATATTCTAATGGCCATAGCACCAAAGTAGGGTGAAACTGTAGGCATCTGCAGTCTCTCTTGTCTATGCACCAATGTGACTCTGCCTTATGATAATAATAGGAGTAACTTTGCTCCTGCATTGTGGGAAGACTAGTTAACACGACACTTCGAGACCTGTGACAATAGTCATGTGAATGTCATGTGTTCTAAGTAATTCCCATTCATAACTGTCTTACTATAAATACCAGATGGTGTAATTCAGCTCCATTGAGCTATGTAGATTTACACCAGCTAAGCGTCTGGCCTCTAATTTGGTGACAAACAGTAAGTTTTTAAATATAAAGAGGGAACCCCCCTCCTTTGAAAAAAAAATGGGACAGTTAAGAATACACAGAGAGCCTTTACAAGCATTCCTTTATGGTGACGCTGTTATAAATTTTACTACTGCTTCTGTTGCAGGAGAGATCACAGAAAAATCTTAATATATCTACAACTAAATCCTGGTAGTAACAGGATTTCATTGAACCTGGTAGACATCAAAGGAAGAATTGTGTGCCTGCTAAAACAATCAGCTGACAAACATTTACCTCTCAGCATTTATCTTTTCAAGAGGCTTTTTGCTACCAAGCGTGTAAGTAGAAAGCACCAACTGCTCCTCAAAAAAAAAGACATTAGTGTGGTTCTGGCTGATTAGGTAGCACAAGACACTTGATGACCATTATTTATTGTATGGTGTTATGACAATTCTGTATTCCAAATACCAAAACAGCTTAAGTCCACGTACAAAAAGGGGTTGAGAAGAGAACTGTTGATTTGAAGAAACACTTTGTACACACTTTAGCAAAGGGGCATTGCTGAAATTAGACTCGGTTTCACACTAAACACAGCAACCAATAGCAAACAGCATGAAAGTTTCTGCCATACCACTCCCCTTTAAGGGAAATTAAGTGGATTTCTTGGAGAGACTTCTACCATTCCAAGGGAGGTTTAGGTCAAGGGTGAGTGTTGTTTTTAATGTATTATTTGGTATAGAGATCCTAATCTGACAGACTAGAAGAAATTCAGTTATTTTAGTCATGGAGTAGACTGGACTGAAAACAATTGCCACTAAAAGCAGGATTGGTTTTCTTTATGACTAGATATACTTCGTGTAAAAAGGGCATACTTTCCATTCCTGAAAACTTTCTTTTTTCTCCCCATGGAATGCTTCATTTGTACCGTAGAGGTGTCAAATGTAACTCCTCTCAATGCAAAGACTACTGGAGTGATTCCTGGACACTTCCAAAATTGATCTTTTCATGGAACTGGACCCTTAAGAAGGGGAGAGGGGGGCAAATATTTACCTTGTAAAATGTTTTCCCACAATTTTTATAATAATAAATTATGTGTGGTTTAACTATTTCCATTGCTTAGTGGTTAGGCACATTAATACATTTATAATGATAAAATAATCTGACTTTTACTCTAAAGGAGAAATGGAAACTGAGTTAGTTAATGAGTATTGATGGAAATAAATGCAACACAGTGGGGGAATTAAAAAAAAAAAAAAAAAACCCTCTTGCACAAAGCCTATAAACAGTGCTCTGCTGGTAACTGATTCAGTAGTGTGCTCAAACACAATGGAGCATAGCTACTCTTTTCCCTACATTCTCTGTACCACACCAAAATTCAGAAACAGATTTTTAATTACCTGGGTTATATTCAGTTAGCAATTCAGACTGCGATAAGAATTAGGAAGCTGTCTAATAGCATGCTGAGTTACTGCCATGGCTTCTAATATAGTTTTCCCCACAGAGGTAGTGACTAAGGGATCCTATTCATAAAAGAGCTATGCCCCAGTTCACAGGTTTTTTGCAGAGGCCAGTAAGGGAGAACAAGTACAAATACTCGTTCTTGGTGCTTTCATTGTGTATGGGGAAAGAACTCAGAGTTGAATAAGGCACTCAAAGGCTAACCAAAAATTAAACATGAATCAATCACCAGTCCTGGACAGTTTGTATCCAATCATAATAAAAGTAAATTACAAACTAAAAGTGTTTTTGACCCTTGTTTGGTTCTTGATATATAAAAGTTGTCTCAAGTTTTCCCTCTCTCAAAACAACCTGTTTTTTCCTGCTTGCTTTTGATACTGGAAATATCAGCTTTACTTCTCTCTCTCTGCTGGAGGGTTTTACCCAGGTATTAAGAGCACCTGACGGTGATGTCATATGTACTGCAGCTTTCCCTGCCACCAGCTGAGGAAAAGAGGGACAATATAAGAATTCATTGGAGGTGAAAGAACTGCAGCACATTTTATAGTTTCCTCTGACATTACACTTCATGTTGTCCAAACATCTCACCCAGAACCAAGCAAAAAAGAAGAAAGTGACAACCTGTTGTTTCAAAAGCAATCCAAAACAGATATTGTTTTGGGGAAACAAGTTAGATTAAACAGCAGGACAGGGACAAAACATTTTTTCCTTTACAGTTCACCTTAGAGTGGAACTGGCAATCCAGTTAATGGTCAAACTGTCACTGAAGTGAGATTCAAGCGGAGGATTTGCAACAAGGGGGAAGGGCACATTTTAGCCCATCTAGTAGGAAACGGATATTCACAACAATGCTGGAGTGACTGAGACCAAGCTACAATATCATTAAAAGTCAGCGTAACAAAAAAATGCCCACAACCATGGCCTTTCAAATAAAACACATCCACAACCTCCCTTTCCCCCCTAACAACTCAATAGATCTGATTGTAGACCTAACCAAATTGTGTAACAGAGTATGTACAGGACTGCAACACAGTTCAACAACATGATCGTAATGTGGTTCAGTCTAATCTAGAATGGCAAACTCACACCAAGTGTTAACACAGGACTACAACGTTACGTGATGGTCATCATCCCGGACTGCAGTCGACTAGCTTGTGCAGACAGGTCTACCGCCACCTATGCCGTCCTTGACCAATAATGGAAACATATGATGATTTCTGGTAAAGTACCAAATAAGCCTGGGCAATGTAGGTAGGGAACAGTGCTACATAAGGCGGATAGCAAACTGGGGGCAGAGGAAGCAAAGATTATGGCATTGCAGCTTGATTCAAGTACAGGAGCTATAGCTTTTCCACGGGTATGTTAATTTTCTTGAGTGTGACATCTACAGTGTGATAGCATTTACTGCTGACTTCAAATTGGACATACAATTAATACTTGAATGGAACAGCTGCTTAACATGTTTTTAAACAGAGGATTGATATGACTAGTGATTTTAATGTGAGAAAATGTAAAATGCATGTTGGCTCTAAATAGCATACACTGACCCTTCTGTTGCTAGATGAAAAATAGAATGCAGTGAATGAAAAAATTAGATTCAGGTTAGCAATGGCATGTGTATACTACAGTTATACAATTTTCCCCAGAATTTACCCTTCTTGTAGACATGTGCTCCAGAGAGTCAGCTTTCATTTAAAAAAAAGAAGCATTAAGCCCTTTTAGTCACAGATATAACCTCAAAAATATAAACCAGGCGTAACCAGTGATCATCCGAATTGGCAAAGAGCCTGAAAGAATGAGAGAGGAGTAAATAACCCTAGTCAACACTTGGGGCCCCATGGCCTTTGCAATTGTGTAGCTGTGCAATTTGGCATGTTTCAATGCTACCACAACAATAATAATTTTGGTTCCATACTTTATTTTGCTGCAGTGAGATTTCTGACATTTTATTTTCTATCTCACTGCCCTTGGGGGATGTGCCTGCAGCTCCCTCTTGCTCTACATCTTTCCCCTCAAGAGAGAATTAACTGCATGACAGTACATGTTCCTTTCATTGTTCTATATAATCAAGAAGAAGAGTGGGGGAGAGAGTCAGAGCTAGAGTCCAGTTCGCAGATAGGGTGCAGGAGGCAAAGATGGGGGTGAGGCAAAGATGGGGGTTAGCAGTTAAGTCCCAGGAAACTGAGAAAATGAATGAATGAAGTTGACTACAAGCTCCCACTTTCTCTGAGCTGGCCTTCCCAGACAACAGTGCAATTGCTGAAGCAAGGAGAACACAGTGAAATATTCAAGTATCAAAAATCATTCATGAATTGAACATCACTAAGTGTTTTGGCTATGAGCCAAAGTTAAACATACACATGTGCGTTAGGATGTGGCATGATTCAATGGCAATGAAGAGTACGCCATGGAGATACAATAAATAGTCCCAATGTGCAGCCCAGGCAGTACACAAGGCCCTGGGTATGAAGACGGAAACCCACTGCTCAGTTGCAGCAAAAAGACTGATGAGATTTTAGGTACCATCAAAAAAATTACAAAGAAAAGACAAGTTTCAGAGTAACAGCAGTGTTAGTCTGTATTTGCAAAAAGAAAAGGAGTACTTGTGGCACCTTAGAGACTAACCAATTTATTTGAGCATAAGCTTTCGTGAGCTACAGCTCACTTCATCGGATGCATACTGTGGAAAATACAGAAGATGTTTTTATACACACAAACCACCCATTTTTTCATGGTTTGTGTGTATAAAAACATCATCTGTATTTTCCACAGTATGCATCCGATGAAGTGAGCTGTAGCTCACGAAAGCTTATGCTCAAATAAATTGGTTAGTCTCTAAGGTGCCACAAGTACTCCTTTTCTTTTTAAAGAAAAGACAAGACATTCTACCTTTGTACTAGATCATGGTGAGACACCTTCTGGAGTACCTCATCCAGTTTTAGACCCTGCACCTCAGTCAGGATGTGCAAATCATCAAAAGCCAATGGTACCTGAACACAAGTATAGAAGGTCTTAATTATAATGAAAAGTTGAAGAGTTATGGTAGGATCCACAAAGGGATTTAGGTGTTGAAACGCTGAGCGGCATGGCACCTAACTTTTAGGTGCCTAGAACACTACTGTGATCTACAAAGCCTGTTAGGCACCTAGGCTCCTATACAATGAATGAGGAGAGACAGGTGCCTAATAATGTACTCCATAAAAGCTAGCATGCTAGATAGAGCCCCGCTCTGCTTTCAGAGATAGGCGCCTCAGTCTGGGCTGCAGGGAGAACCTTATCTCTGCTTAGAGATCCAGATGGGACCCTCTGTCTCCCAGCTGGCGTAAGGCAGGTTAGGTGCCTAAGCCACTTCTGGAGGGAATGAGTTAGGTGCTTGCTTTACTCCACATAAAATGGCCAGAGGAGAACAGGGTGGTAATGCAACTTTTAGCCCAGTGGTTAGAGCACTTACTTGGAATGTGGGAGACCTAGCTTCAGTTCCCGCTCTAGCCACAGAGCGCTAGGATATATTCTGATACGGGGCTCTCTCATTTTCTCCTGCTGAAACTGTTTCCCTGTGGCTAAATAATGAAAGTGTCATTGGAGCAAGGGGACTGGACTTGGGGTCTGTGCCCTCCCAGTTGTGTACCCTAACCACTGGGCCACAAAATCATACTGTCTTACTCGGGCCCAATTACTATTTAAGTGTTTATCCAGAGTGGTACAGTCATTGGGCCAGAAAGAGAGAATGATTCTGTAACCAGTGGTTAGTCTACTTTGAAAATATAGGTGCTGAGTGAGTTTATGTGTATGCAGGGTTCAGTGGGAACTCTGTGGATCACAATGGAGCCAAAACTGGGACTTACGTACATAAGGTCCAGATTCCTAAGTGCTTTTGTGGATTATGTTTATAGTGTTACTGCATATATAAGTACATAGAAAGGAAAGAGAATTCTGGTATCTCTTTGAACTGAGCAGTAACCAGGTGGCAATCTATTGGAAATCTTAATAAAATAGATTAACATTTCGGAGACCTATTCTCACGCTTGGCCCTCTTTACAGAGGGACTTCAGCAGATTAAAATGATCTCCTTCTCTTTCTCTCCCTAGCCTGAGCAAGCTTTTGCCTGCTTTTTTCTCCCTCAACAAAAATTTTCCCACTTCACTAGCCTCCCAACTAATAAACAGTGCCTGTAGCCCAACCATTATCAGTGGGTTGGCACTGACAGCCTAGTATTGTCCACTCTGTTCTTACCACTACTCATCAACACCACATAAACACATTGTTGGCTCTATGTTGATTTCCTCCCCCAACTCCACGCCATCCCCAAATTTTGGCTTGACCTTCCCGGTAAGACCTGTCTTCCCTTGATAGTTTCTTAGGAATTAAATACACAATTGGGCTTTTATCCTCAGAGAGAGATCCAGGCTGAGAATCTATTGCTGAGAGGAGGAACTATTTTACCAAAATTCAAAGGTGGGAAAGAAGAAACAGGTGATTATTTGAGCATTGACAACATATTTGTGTATATAAATTGGATTGCATTCCTAACTACATGCACATGATTAAATAGCTTGTCAAAAATCAAGATTATACAGATGGACATTCTGTTGCCTAAAAGGGTCAAGGAGATGCCACTTTTTGAATGCATATCAAAGGTCCATTGGACAGCCCTCATGTTTTTCCTTTCAACGAAGGAAATTTATGTAGAAACTTCAAGTAACATTAAGGTTCTCAGAGATGTAAGAAAATTCAGGATTAGAATCTGAAACACGGTCCTTAACTAGCACTGTTATGCCCGGCTGTTGCAGGGGAATATTTGAACAGTGGGTGTTGGCACATCCCATATGTGCTCAAATACTAATTGTGCAATGGGAGCAAGCTAATCCTTTTGTGTTGAGAGATGTATTTTCCTGGGGCACAATATTACTGGCTGTGAATCCATCAAAGCTGCTAGTGTCAAAATAAAAAGGAATATCCATGCTTTCAGTGGGGTTTTTTGGTATGTATGATTTAAAAGACAGGAATAGATGTACATGAAATTGATGTATCTCAAACATGTAAATTTTGATGTACATGAAAGATATAAATACTAAATGGAAAAATTCTTACCAATAATCTCCTTTCTGCTAGCATCTCCCACAAGACATCTCTCCACACTGCAGCTGTTGAAGGGGGTCCAAAGTTGTCGTGCTGCATGCACTGGCCACCCCTCTTCCCCCCAGCTTGGTGCCAGATGAGTCATTCCAATGCTGCATAGAACTCATAGAAAGATATTAGTAACTTCAGTGGGAACACAACTA